CCAGTCATCCATGAACCCATCAATCTACCAACCCATCCCTTATCCGGCCATCCATCCAGCCAGCAATTCATCAAGCCATCCACTAAACCACCCATCCATTTAGCTAGTTGTTCATTCAATCATCTATCCAATTATCCATCCATTAAACCCTCCATTCAGCCATCTGTTCATCTATTCAGTCGTTCATCGAATAAGATCTCTATCCAATCATCCATTTATCTATCTACGTAGCCCTCCATCATCCTTCCATTTCAACTAGCACTTCAAGTCCTGAATCCATCTGGCCATCCATCGTACATCAATCCACTCTGCCTTCGATTAAGCCATCCATACCTCCAGTCATCTATCGATTCAGCCAGCTTTCCATCCTTTTCTGCTCCCACCAGTGAAATCCTCCGTGCATCAAGCTCTCGGTCATCTGTCCATCCAACGAGGATTTCATCCAGCCATGTAATCATTTAGCCACCCATCATCCAATAATTCAACCAGTCATCCGTATATTTTTATTTACATGAATGTATCGATATTTATATATATTTAGCCATCCATCGATTCAGGTATCCAACCAGACAATCGTCTATGTATCCATCAGCCATCAATCTAGCCATCTATCGATACGTTCATTCAGCCATTCATCCATCCAACCAGCTGTTCATCCATCCATTCAGCCATCTAAATTTGCTGATGCTACCATTTCTCTCTGCCCTCCCTCCAGCAAACTATCGGTCCATCCATCTACCCATCCATCAATCTAACCATCGACACAGCCATCTATCCTTGTAGCCATCGAACTATCCATTTATCCATTTTCTTCTTTCATCCATCCATCCATCCAGCGATCCATCGATCAATTCATCCAGCCAGCCATCTATTGATGCTACAAACATTTGTTCTAGAATTTCTTCCATTAAAGATAAATGCTTTCACTTTTCAGAAGCAGCTTTAGCTGCAGTGGGTCTGCTATCACAATTGAAAATAAAAAGATCTAATAACTTAATTTAAAATTTCGCAAAAAAGATAATAGCAAGTAATAACAACACTTGTCAAGCATGATAGTATCCTGATATATAGGATTATGATCATAAAAAACTATAAGTTAATGACATGCGCACTAAGTTTCTGTTGGCGGCGGTCTCTCGTTTTTTTCTCTCGGAGTTTTGCCATTTCATTTTCCTTGAGTTCTGAACACGTTAACCATTTGGTTGGATTTTGAGTGGCTGTTTACTGTCCACAACTGTCTTAGTCTCCACTTGTTTTGAATGTAACATCGAGAATGCAGCTCTAATCGATCAAGTCAAGTCATGATATGGAATAGAGTCATATGATACGTCCAAAACAGTTGATGCCAAATCATCAGTCAATGAAAGAGCCCCAGGATTTTTTGAAAGCACAATCAAACGTGATGGTGTCTGATATTCAGCCTGAACGTTTTAGGCAGTTGGTAACCTAAAACTGCCGATCGATTATTTTTACGCTTTTGTGCTACTAAATTCACCGAAAAAGCGCTTACGTGAAGACAACGCTCCACGCCTCCATTATCAGAAAACAGTATCTGATGATTTGGAAAAGGGTTATGTCATTTAAGATGAACCGCATAACCCAAAAACGCGGCGTGACCCTGAGTGGTATTCATCAACTTAAATGAACCCTAAAAGGACCGAAGAGTGTTAAACGGAGCTTCCAAGTTTCATTGGTTTTCGCTCAAGAAGTTGGTTCTTGTTGGTTCAGATTTGCTGTCCGTCAACATAATTATGCTATATCAGTCGACATCGAGGAAATGTCTCTCGGAGTCGGAGTCTTTCCCAAAGATCAATCATCTTTGCGTTTTCTGTGGCGGGAAGACTCATCTGCAGATGTGATGATGTATGAATACTTCCGTCATAAATTTGGGGCACTTGACTCGCCAATGTGTATTTATTTTGCACTACAGCAGACAGCTTAGATTAAGTAGTCCGATTACCCTGAAGCCGCAGCAGCTGTTTGCGATCAATTTTACATATATGACTAGTTGGACTCGTTTTCGAATGCTGAACAAGCCGTTAACTTAGGTAGAGAGACTTGGTAGAGATGCTTGGTAAAGGAGGGTTCAAGTTGACCAAGTTTATCAGCAAAATTCTTAAGATTTCAAGAACTAAATCCGAATAACTATGAAATCGAAAATGTTGAAAAAATACTTGTTAATCCCGATTTGAAAGCTGCAAGCTGCATTTTTGGCTACTCGTCTTAGAGGAGACCTTCAAGAAACATTGAGTATTCAAATATTCCATACATTCACGTGGTCTTACAGTGCAATTGTTTTACAGTGGCTCCACGCCGATGATAAGAAACCGGTCTTCGTAGTCAACAGAGTTGACAAGATCTTAGAATCAACAACCCTTGATGAGTGGCACTACGTAGCAATTGGTGATAATCCCGCAGACACAAGTACACGGTACACAGGTACATCATCAATCGTTGATTTATATGCGCGTTGTTGTTCAATCTCGATTCGCCATCTTGAAACTGTCGAAATGCACAAAGCTTAATGTCAACTCCATGATGTAGGAACTCCCTCTAGAACGTCTAATGTATCGAAAGCTTGCCTTTTGTTGCTGCGGAGTCTTTTATTTTGGCTCATTTCACGTATCTGTCTGTAGGAGCTCAGAGAAGTGGTGGGGCTTTCTCTTTACTTGCATGGCGGACGAGTGGTTCAAAGCGAAACCGTGCGTTCTATGGATGGCAGTACGTGCGTGATGGGCATTGAGAGGTTAAATGCCCGCCCAGGATTTCCATCTGTCATCCGGTCGGATATTGGCATAAATTTCGTGGCCACCGACAAGGAATTGCTGGCGTTCATTGAAATTTTGAATCAGCAGGCTCCCAGCCGCTTAGTACCCAAAGGTATGAAGTGGAAATACAATCCACCTAGTGCGCCACATCATGGTGGCTCAAGGGAGCGTCTGGCAAGGACCTACCCGCGTGCGTTCCATTCCATGCTTGAAATCCCTAAAAAATCGCTAGAAGTACTCGACAAGACGTTGCCATGTCGGCAAGAGTATGTGCCATGTCGGAATAAGCGAGCCAAGTCTTCTCCTGAGCGTGAACTTAAGACAGGCCATTTCGTGTGGACAGTAGAGCCCACTAACTCCCGAGGTTCTCATCATTTAGCCTGCATTAGAACGCTTAACGCCTCACTAAAATTTTTGAATGGTGATTTTACCTGCCCGGTGACAAAACTCGCGCCCGTCCTGATTTTGTTGAGGGCGGAGGATGTTGCCACGCAGGTAAGCGAGAATCTAGAAGCGAGTAATTTGAACGACATAACGACCTGTTGGGGGGTGGTCTAATAATTGAGCAGACCGGTTCGGCGCAGGTTCGAGCACCCCAAAAAGCAATGTTTTTGCTCCGATCCAAATGGTATATATAACTAAAACCAACAAAAAATATAGAAAAATGAACCTCGTCTGGCTGTTTTTTGGTATGTATGTGATTTATTGTGTATCGCAAAATGCGGCTGAGTGTGCCAATTTGCAAAAGTTTTCCATACATTTCTATCGACTAATGATGCGATTTATGCCGTTTCTGGAATGAAGTCATTTCGTTCTTATTATTTTTGATTGGAAATGTTTGTCTTAAGCTATCAGTAGTAGTTTCAATTAGAGATAACAAATACAGTATCTTCTTTTTTCGGGTTGTTTTGCCATTTCAATTTTCTTGAGCTTTGCTGAACTCCCAGAAAGGCGATGGTCAATATTTTTGATAATTTGTTTTACACTCAGTCTTTTTTTTCACAGGCCGTTTTTTGACTTTTCGCATGTTTTTTTGTTAAAAATTGTGTGTTTTGGCAAGCTGCCTCCGTCAATCCGTTGGTTGGGTTTTGAGTGGCCGTTTACTGTCCACAACAGGTTTAGTTCGCACTTGTTTCAAATGTAACGTCGAGATTGTAGCTCTAGTTGATCAAGTCAACTCATGATATGGAATGAAGTCATATGACACATATAAAACCATTGATGCCGAGAAATTCATCAGCCCATATTTCTAGCAGTCTTGAGAGCACAATTAAACATGATGGTGTGTTATTCAGTCTGAACGCTTTAGGCAGATGATAACGTGAAACTGCCGAACGATTTTTTCCCGCTTTTGTGCAACTCAAGTTATCGGAAACGCTCTATGCCTCCGAGACAACGCTCTATGCCTCCAAGACAACGCTCGATGCCTCCATTACCAGAAAACAATATCTGAGGAATTTGAAAAGAGTTATGTCATCAAGATGAAGCGCATAGCCCAAAAATGCGCCGTGAACAGTTAGATGAAGATAATCGTTTGGGCTGAATTCGTTTTACTCTTTTAAGATGCTTTGACCTTTTTGTCTCATAATGTTTTCGTTTCAATACAAAAGAAGTAATGTTTGATTCAGGTGTTTTTGCACGCAAAATCAGATCGTGTGGATAAACGATGTACAAAGTGATATACCTTAATAAAGCTTTTTTAGTTTGATGTCATCAGTAGTAATTTGAAATTAATGAAAGGCAGATGGAATTGAACAATGTTATCTTCCTAGGAGGAAATTATTGAACAAGGCCAGCCTTTTTTTCATGACAACGCTACTTCCTTTTACTTGCATTGCATCGACACTTTCATTCAATTGTTTGCTGTTTTTTATTGCTGTGGTTATTCAACCACCCCCTGCCACCCCCTGGATTCGAGAGCTGTATTTCTGCCTATGCGTCTGTCTGCATCTCAAGTTGTACCAAGCTGCCCTTTGCCTCTGAAATTTAAGTCTGTTTGAATAATTTTGACTACTTTTCGAAATTTTAAGTGTGAACTAACTTTTTCGTTGATATTTTATGCATTTCTATAGTATGCTAAAGAAAGATTATTCCGATATTGACTTTTGTATGAAATTTATGCATTTAGTTGGAGGCGCTGCTGAGAAGCTATTTTGTACTGTGTTTGTTGCTTCTATCTGTTGGTTCATATTTTGAGCTCTATCTGCTTGCTCAATAGCTTTTTAACATGAAGTAAATGACAACTATTACATGCACTTCGTTTATACAACTTATTACAGAGCTATAAATTTGAAAAGTTTTCACTTCATCAGCTTTGAGCGATTTTTTTCTTGGAGTCAATTCGTTTCTTGAAATTTGATTTGGTTTGCAGATTATGTTCATGCAAAGAGTATAATGCTCACTCTAGTTTTTTATAGAATGAACATCTTAATTGTTGGCTAGCGTCGATTTATTGAGAATGGATTCATCTAAAAATTGTGGGATAATTTTTTATCACTGAAAATATTTCAAGTCTAATTTGCTTGCGTCATAGGAGGAAATTGGAAATAAGAGCCCGCACTCAATACCAATTAGTCCGCTCGAAACTGTTTATCTACGAAAGAAAGTGGAGGATTCAATTACCACTTTTCCCCAAAAATGTACCAGAATTTGCATGGATATTTCTTTATTTGCTTGGCTATTGAATTTCTTCAACCCGGTTCAATTAGCCTCAAAATTTGATGCCAGGTTTTCGAAGTTATCTTTCATAGCTTGAAGGGTTTTTGTCTCAAAATCGACCTATTTTATTTTTGAAACTGCAAATGCTTGGGTTATTTATTTCTATACGATTACCTGATTTGTTTTGGTGCATTACAAAATTTCCTTCTACATATGTTATTTCATAGGGCTTGTAATTTTTTCTTTTAAAATACCTGAAAAACTCATTGTACTTCTGAGTCTCATCGTTCGTGGTTTTTGCGAAAATTACCATAATATTTCGAAAAATACATATAATGTAATTTCTAAGTTCTTGCTGTCAACCTCAATTTTTGCTACTTGATGCTGTTCTTCTTAATGTAAACGTTTCAATCGAATACTTATTTTGAGTACTTTCGGCTCTATTGAAAGGCACTGAGGCTCATGTTTTCAGCCTTGCTACTGTTTATTTTGATGGTATTATTATTTTTCTTTCAATTTTTTGTTATGAAATCAATCAAGCAAATTGAATTAGAAAATACGCCAACTTATGTTTTCACATCTTGCAATTTTAAACATTTGGACGATTATTCATTCTAGTTGCTTCCTATTAAAGCTATTAGAAACCAATTTGTTTTTTTAATCAAAACCATCAACGAATTTCTCAAAATTTACAGCACGTTTTCTATGAAGTGACATGCAGTGTAGATTTTTTTTACATCAGGACATTTTTGTCTTTTAAGTGATCCAGGTCAGCACAGTTTGGCGGGGACAACCTCCAAAACATTGAAAATTTTGGAAATTATTCCGTATTGTTTTGCACCCCCTTCCCTGGCAAAAAACTGGTTCCGTCCCATTGCGACGCGAATGTTTTATTTAGAAAGATTGTAGGTAGTTAACGTGTGGGTATTAAAAACAAAGGTCTTAAAACAGCGTCGACTATATGGCATGCGTCATCGATACTTATAAATCGCTAATGGCATCGTGCTTAATTATGTTTCCCCCGGAGCTTCTGTATAAACTTTTCAATCTGTGACAATAGAAAATTTAAATATTAGCTGAATCAAATCGGGACATTTTATTCAATCACGTCCATCTTTGTTTCCTGCTACTAAAAAATAACACTATTTTGACGCAAAACGTACTAGTTTTCACTTGTTTTTAGTGCTTTGTATGTTTCCGACAAATTTATTTTCAAATAGGTAAGAATACCTACTACCTTGAGCTTGCTAATTTCCTGTTTAACAGCATGAACAGTACCTTGAAATGTTTACCACCCCTCGATTTTGGTTTGTTCACACCGGGCTGTATCTTAATTTTATTCCTTTTGTTCACACTTCATCAGTTTGAAAGCCCTGATGTTTTTCTCGCCTGCCTTGTTGGGTTTTGTTTTGCCATTATTTTCTAATAATGAGACTAAATTATTGATTTTACTTTCATCTTTGATTCAATTGCTTAAAGAATCCTGTCAAATCTTAAAATAATTCAGCACATTTGACGCTAGCTGTCAAATCGTTTTCTGGCTTTGTAGAGCTGGAAGTATAATTCCATCATTATTTTCCCCCTATTCAGTGGATTTTTTTTGTTCAATGTTCCCAGTTTTTATTGTCTGCGCTGTTTTTGAAGCCGAGTATTGAGTATTAAAAAAGTAATTTAACACTCAGTGCGTGCTTTTACATCTATTTTAAAACAGGAATTCGCCTTAAACTTACCAAAAAAATAAGCCAAATCCATCGCATTCAGTGTTTAAAATTCAACAATTGCAATATTACACTTCAGCTTTAAGCGTTAAGTTATACCATCTGAATCATCGGCGGAGAATTTGATTTGCTCCTTAATAATTTAAAACGTTGTTTTATTGAAAGTTTTCTTGCAACTCGAAGATGAGTCGACTGCAGCCGAATAACACGTTTCCAGTTTGCGACATTAAAATTACGTCGCCTGACGCCGATTCGGACCGCGAAGGTCGCAATGATTCAGAAAATAACTCATGGGAGTCCCACCTGGAAATGACTAATCAAACTGGAAGCGGGGGAATTACTTTTGAAAAGTTCCGGTCTGAGAGCCTTTCACCATATGATATTCCACACGTAAATATCAATGGGTTGAGAAGATTTTCAGTACCGACTCCGATGCCTGCAAAAATGAAAGGTAATATATTAAGACATATATTTCAATCAGACCAACATAGTTAACGAGACCAAACCAACATGGCCAGACAGGAACGAAATTTCTCTCTCTATCTCTATCAAATATAATCAATCTCTCTAATTCAATCAGAAGCTCGAAGCAGAGATCGATGTAGCTACAACAACAACAACACCAACATAGAGTTACTGACCTGTGTTTAAGTGTAAAACAACGAAGTGATGTTTTCTTATATAGGTTTTGATGATTTTTTTTCTGGAAAAAGTCTTAAAATGCTCTAATAATTACAGAAATTTATTCGTACAAATTAATGACTTTAGGAATATACCTATGCATTAAGTTTACTTTATATACACTTTTTGAGTTCAATTCAAAATAAACTGTTTCTTAATTTTATATTTAGGTAAATAGCACTCCAATTATGAATTCGGATATGGCGCGAAAAAACGTAAACGATTTCTAAATCGATAGTGGATTTTAATTTTTAGACTTCATAGCGGAATAAATTTTTTTCTGACATCGATCCAGTGTTCTTCAATTGAGTTAATTTTATCAAAAAAAATCAAAATATTATGTTCTTAAAATTTTGAATAATTTTTTTTTCGTTTGTTCTTGTACAATTTTCCAACCACTGTTGGCTATTTTACAAATTGTATTTTCTAAATTGTTTTCTTTTAGAATGCGGATCAATACTTTTCGTTATGAGGTGTTTGTAACCAGCTTTGATTTGCTTGTATCTGAAATTTACTTCGAAATTTATTATTTTATCTTTGTGAAAACTATTGATAATATCGGAAATACATGAGAAAAAATGGAAATTTGTCTACTCCAGCTCATTGGAAAGTAAGAAGTAAATAGGGTGCAATTTAGCTTGTTTTTTTCTTTTGACTGCATATATTTCAACTTTCGGAGGAATCAAGTTTATCGTATTGAAATTTTCATATTTGGTGCTCGAGTTCCATCAATAAAGATTGATATTGAGGGGGTTTAGGAACTTAGACGACAGGAAATTAGACGATCAGAAAATAACGGAATTTAGACAATAACTTGCGTGCAAATTGCGTGAATTTTGTTTTCAGACTTAAATTAACTTTTGCTTTTGGCTGAGTAAATACTAGTTGTTCGTAAATTCCGTTTCTTTACGGTCGTCTAATTTCCTAGCCCCCCATATTGAGCATGGTGTCGAATAACTCTGGATGTTTTGTTTCTACAAGATAATTCTTTGAAACTCATCCGGTTAACTCAACCATTGTGGCTTTCTTAATTGAAAAAAACTAAGTTCACAATTTTTCGGAGATCACAATTTTTCGGAAATTAAATGAAAATTTCGATTAAGTTTTATTATGCACTGTCAATTGCAATTTTATATAAATAATTTTTTAGATACATTTTTTTAGTTAGTTTTGTTTGCACTATGAACCATTATAATGGGATTACTCATTTTGATGATACATTAGAATTTTTAAATCGGTCAGTTTTCAGCTTAAGTACCTAGCTATCTCGTATTTTTCATTAAAGTATATGATGGTTAGATATCAGAAGGCACTCAGTCTGCCTTTTCCTATGCACCCTAATGTTTTTTTTCTGGTGCGATGTTGGCTTTATTTCTATAATTTTTTTTTTCATTTTTAATGTTTTTTATTCAATCAAATTCAGCATTTTACATGATAGTTTTACTGCTTAAATTTACTATTTAGCTTAAGCGTGGTGATTTTTTACTCGGTTAATTCAGGTAAGAAACTTTTCACATGGTCTGATTTTAAAATTTGTCCGTAAGGTGCATTTTAAAATAATTAGCAATAGTGCCCAAAGTTTTTTGTTTCATTATACAATGTGTAGGAAACTATGGCATGCTTTTTGTTTTTGTTTCAATTTCTTCGAATGACTGACCTGGTGTTTTTAGATAATGATTGTTGCTGATTAGTTTTCTTTTTAAGTCTCATTAAATTTATTGAATTAAATAAATCTCGATAGGCAGGGATTTTGCAATCGGGTACTAGGCTTTTTCACATAAATAACTTCGCAGTACTCATTTTCTAAATTCTTTTGTTTACGCTTGCGATGCGAGTGTATTAGTAAGAACCTTCTGAGTCGTAATTATCGGTGCTACTTTTGGGACACCGTCACAGCTTTTTGATAGCATGTACTTTGACCTTCGAATACTGATACATTAACATTTTTGATGCATTTTTAATTCGTCAAATGAACCGAAAAAAGTGATTTGTTTCAAACTACATAACAATAATGAAAACTCAATTTTAGAATATTTCTAACTGAATATATCTAGCAATTTTATGAAATGCTTAATTTATACATAATGTGGCTTTATGCCGTGCGATTTGTTACATGCAAAGTTAGTTTAGATGCATTCAGTTTGTTATATTCCAAATTATTACATGCAATTGTGAGTCTATTTGTATTTGATGTAGTTATTAGCATATGTAGCTGTTTTATTCGTGACTAGTGTTTGTAGGTTGTTAAGCTTGCGTGGCTAGTGCATAAGACTCAAAATCTCTTAATTGCTGTAGGTCCCAGCTTCGAATCCTACACGTAGCTGAGTTTTTGCTATTTAGAGGCTTATTTTTTACTTTTTTATATTTCACTTGATAGAGCTGCTTTTTGGTCGCGTTCTTGCAAGTGTTAGGGAAGCGCAGCTTCGCCTCTGTGTTGAAAGAATGCAGCAGAGATATTTTGAACCTGTTAGCCTTAGCGAACTTAGCCTTAGCGAACTATGTTAGCCTTAGCGAAGTTAGCCTTAGTGAACTTAGCCTTAGCGAAATTTGTCCTGTTTCCCTTAGCGAACTTAACTGAGCGTTAGTGTTATAATACGACTTTTTTTTCTAACATAAGTAGGAAATATTGGTGCCACTTTTGGCGCATTTTTACGGCTTCTTGATGGCGTGTGCTTTGACATTTGAATAGTAATAAGTTAACATAGTTGATACATTTAAATTCATCACATGAGGTGAAAAAAAATATTCAAACAACACAACAATAATAAGAACTCGATTTCAGAAGTTTTCTAACTCAATATATCTCGCAATTTTTGGAAATTTATAATTTGTTCATAATATAGTTTGTTCTTTTCCAATTTTTATTACATGCGTAATAAGTGTGGATGCCTTCAATTTTTTATATTCCAAACTACTACTCGCAAAATTGTGTCTATTTGTTTTTGGCGCCACTTTCGCATTGGCATTTTGTTAGCATATGTAGCTGCATTATTTATGACTAGTGTTTGCCAAATTTTAAGCATTCGCGGACGCAATGGGAGGGCGTTAGGCTCAAATTCTTGAGGTCGCAGGTTCGAAGCCCATACGTAGCAAAGTTTTACCCATTCGAGGCTTCTATCTTTTCTTATTTCACTTTATAAAGCTGATTTTGTCGTGTTCTAGCTAGTGTTTGCGAAGCGTAGCTTCGCCTCTCTGTCGATATATATTTTTAAATGTTGTTTGTACTTCAAACGTTTCGTTTTTGTAAAATTCCAGTTTTTGCTCGGACCCTTGAAAATGAGGAGAAACTTTGTATTCGGGTGTTTCTTTTTTTTTTTAATTTTTGTTTGTCATCTTTTTTGTAAGACAAATGTTGTCGACTATGTCCTATTCACTAAGTTTCTACGCGGTTGTATAGTTCCAAAATCACTCCACGTATTCCTAATTTAAAGAAAACAACTAAAAAAATGTGTTCGGTTTTTCAATGAATATGGTCCAAACCTATGATCGAAGTTTTTGTTTTTGTTTGCGTCTATCGTTTCAATAGGTTTCGACCTATTTTTATTGGTCTGGTGGTCTTAAATTGCGTCATTTGATGAATGAAAAAAGTTTTTTTAGGCGTGCGTGTCTTTTTTAACTTGTTTTTGTTTCCGGTTTAAAGGGTTTCCGCTGAGGTGTTTTCGACGTTGTTACCGCTTCGTCAGTTTTTTTTCTTATGTTTATTTTCTCATTCCGTTACTGCCTTGGGTATGTTTGATGAAGGCTATTTTGTTCTTTTTCTTATACCTAATTTTTCGGCATTTTTCAAGTTTATTTTTACGGCTTTCTGTTTATCTCTTCATATGTTGTTGCAATTTAATTTATGCAAGCCTAATGGTGTTCCATGTGGAGCTTATATTTAGAACCTTTATTCGGTAAATTGGAGTGCTGCAAAAACATGGGTCAGGGACTGATTTCGTTTCAACTTACACCGGGCTCATGATGAGTATCATCAACCGTCTTTAATATGTTTCGTTTGAATTCCAAAAGGAGTTCAAAGAAACAATTAAGTCTTTGCTGGATTTTTTGGTTTTTATTTGATTACGTGAAACGTGGTCTTGGCATACTGAGCTAGTCGATTATGCCTAATTTTAAATAATCATCTAAGCTTTCATCTAGTTCCTCTAATCACGCTGCACTAAAAAAACGACACGAATATGAAAAACCAGAAAATTTTTTTTGGTTTTGTATAATGTATAGTCTGCAGACTTCCCTGGTCTTTGAAGAAGGTAGTCAGACAATAATTTTGATAACTGTAAAGAAAGTTAGGTCTATTTGATTTTGGGAAAATTTGAGGCGCCATGTTGGTTTTACCCACAAAACGGTTTTGTGCAACTTTTGCAAACGCAAACATCCTCAAGTTTCTTCAAGTTTAACTATTCGTTTGCATGAAATGATTTTTGATGCTGTCCTAATTCTAGATTTGTTCTTCTTGAGCTATAAATGGACTATTGACGTCTAGGATTTGCTACCATGTACAGTAGCATATCGTCTGTATTGATCATTAATGTCAGTTTATCTTGACTGGTCCAAATATTTTGCCAAAGATACTAATTTGACCAAGTTGATCGACGAGATTCCTTTCTCCAACCTTCTCGCCTATTGTATCAAACTTCATTCTGTTTTTCTTCTATATACAAAACACTTAAGTGGAGGGTTATTTATTTTACCCATTGGATCTGAACTTGAATTGGGTCCAAGTGTCAAAATTGGGTTGAAATTAGATTTTTATAATTTTGCGCACTTTGACCT